CCAGAGGCAAGAGTGAGTATAGACAACGGTTACTTCTACTGCAGAATGTTTGAGAAGGGCACAATGCTGAGGGAAGCCTGGGGACCTGATGCCACAGACATTAGCTGAATGGCAGCCAGAAATTACCGAGAGGAGTTAATTTGTTTGTTGGGAGTTGGGATTTCAAGTAGCCCAGGTTGATATTACCACATAACCAAGGATAACCTTGAATTATTGCTCCTCCTGCTTCTACCTCTCAGGTCACCATGCTGGTTTTGGGAGTCAAACCCGGGGCCTCCTGCATACTAGGCAAATACTTTACCAAAAGAGCTATATCCCCAGCTCTCACAGAAAAGTTTTAAAGTCAGGAAATGAGATGATCATTCCTACATATTATAACAATCACTTGGGGCTGGAGAGATGGCTCAGCAGTTAAGGGCACTGACTGCTCTTCCAGAGGACCTGGGTTCAATTCCCAGCACCCATGTGGCAGCTCACAACTGTCTGTAACTCCAAGATCTGATACTCTCACACAGACATACATGCAGGCAAAACATCAGTGTACATAAGATAAGAATAAATTATTTTAAAAAATCACTTGGCCTCAGGGTAGAACATGGCTGGAAGGAAGCTAATCTTGACCTTAGCCTGACACTGTAATGGCAGCGGTGGTGGTGATGACAACTGAGATCTCTAGGAAACAGAATGATACAACCGACTTGCAGGATTGGGTCAGGTTTGAGGTTGAGATGGAAGGGGGGTTGGAGAGATGGCTCAGTAGTAAGCACAGGCTGTTCTTCCAGAGGACCCAGGTTCATTTCCCAGCATCTGTATGGTAGCTCACAACCACCTATCACTTCAGTTCCAAAAAATTAGATGCCCTTTCCTTACCTCCTTGGGCACAGGGCACGCATAAAATATGCAGGCATACTCACAGGCGAAACGCCCATACACATTAAGTAAAATAATAATTAGAGGGTGGGGTGGGGTGGGGAAAGAGAGAAGAAATAGCGCCAAGCTTAGGTTTCTGAGTTAGAAGGCTAAGCAGTTAGCAAGAGCTGCAAGAGTGGTTGTAGGCGGCCCCGAGTGGGCCCCAGGTTAACCCAAATATTGGGTGCTTTTGAGGTGGAGTGGAGGTATTAGCATTATTAATGTGGGATGATTGTCAAATTGTCATTGATTTGTTTTCAGACCAAGTACAAAGTAAGCACTCACTTCACCACTGAGCTATACCCTCAGCCCTCTCTTTACCTTTTTTTCCCCCCTGAGACAAGATCTCATTACATGGCTTGGGCAGGTCTTGAACTTACAATCCTCCAGACTCAGGCTCCACCTGGCTAGTAATTTGAGTTTTTAAGTTCAAAACAAAATGTCTGGGTTAAGAAGTCAGTTTACAATGTATGTAGATTACAATCACAGTGTTGGAGATGGAGAAGGCTTGCACAAGTCAGGCCTGGTGGCACATACCTGTAATCCTAGCACTCAGGACGCAGAGGCAGGAGGCTTTTGAGTTTGAAGACAGCTCTCCAAACAACCAAATCCTGTATCAGAAACAGGACCATCTGGATGACTTATTGGCTTGGCTGCCAAGTCAGACAACCAGAAGACCTTCATGGTAGCAAGAGAAATGGCCTCCACATGACCACAAGACATACACACAACAAACAAACGTGATAATAAAAAATAAGAGGGCTTATGAAGCTCCAGAACTAGTTTGGACTGCAGGGTGGCTCCCGAGGTCATGAGCACTAGGACATGCCCCATGGGCACCTCACTGTCCTTTTGCTAGTTTCTGTTTCCTATTATCCCTTGTCAATAGCTGTTTGTTCCCACTGTTCCCACTGTTGCCAAGCAAGCCTTTGGGTGGGTCCTTTTAGGAACTTCAAAACTCTGGTTGTTCTTCCAATGGTCCTGAGTTCAATTTCCAGCAACCATGTGGTGGCTCACAACCATCTGTAATGAGATCTGATGCCCTCTTCTGGCATAGTTGTAAGTACAGATAGAGCATTCATATGCCTAAAATAAATAAATCTTTATATATAAATAAATTTAAATAAATTTCCTCTTTCACCAGGGAGGAGGATCTCTGTGGGTTTGAGGCCAGCCTGGTCTATATATATCATTCCAGTCTAGCATAGAAAGACCCTGTTTCAAACTAAACAACAATGGCTGGAGAGATAGCTCAGTGGTTAAGAGCACTGGCCGCTCTTCCTGAGGACTGGGGTTCAATTCCCAGAACCCACATGGCAGCTCACAACTGTCTGTGACTCCAGTTCCAGGGGATCTAATGCCCTCACAGAGACATACATGCAGACAAGACACCATACACATAAAATAAAAGTAAATAATTAAAAAAACAAGAACAACTAAACAGTAACAAATTACTCTCATCTTCATCTCCCAAAGTCAAAACTTCTTAGAGATGTGTATATAGTTCAGATATACCTGGAAGAACACAAATCATTCTTCCATCTGGAGGTGGGGGTGGGGTGGGACCTTCTGCTGTGAGCAACCTGATAGCTTACCTCATTACTAATGTTTCCAGCCTGGGAGGAAATTTTCAAGATCAGAGAAAAGCTGTAGATTTGACCAGGGACAGGCTGATTCCCTGGGGAAATGAATTGTGAGAGAAAATGCAACTTATACAAAAAAGCCATTTTCCCATTTCCTATGTTGTTTGGGGTGGTTTTGAGATACAACGTAGCCCTGGCTGGTCTGGAACTCGCAGAGATCCTTCTGCATCTGTCTCTCTGAGTATTGGGAACTCCTGGCTCTATTTTTGTGTTTGGGGGCGGGGGAGTTATGTATCTCAGGCTATTCTGGAACTCACTATATAACCCAGACTGACCCCAACCTATCCATTTCCCTGATTCAGACTTCTAAATGCTGTGACTATAGATGTGTAACACTATACTTTCTTTCTTCCCCATTCCTATGATTACTAAAATTATAAAAGCCCAAAATATTTAGATGAAAGTAATATTCATGATTTGTATATGTGCAATCTTCATGGTACCTAAATACAAAAGGAAGTGAGGTGCAGTGGTACATGCCTTCAGTGTGGTATTCAGGAGGCAGAGGCAGCAGGATCTTTGAGTTTGAGAACAACTTCCAGGAGAGCCAGGGCTACATACAGAAACCCTGTCTCAAAAGAACGGAAAACAACAACAAAAACAAAAAACAAACCTTCAATTAAATGTTTTCCTTATGAGGAAAAAAAAAAAAGAGAAAGAGAAATTTCCCATCATTTCCTATTGTCCACCATCTACCATGCTATTTTGGGAAAAAAATGAACTGCCTGATTTGTTTTAGTCAAGTGTGTCTTCTTGCCACCCCTGGCCCCCACCCCAGACAGGGTTTCTCTGTGTAACAGCCCTGGCTGTCCTGCAGTTCTCTTTGTAGATCAGGCTGGCTGCCTGCCTCTGCCTTCCCAAGTGCTGGGATTAAAGGTGTGTGTCACCATGCCCAGCAGTAATTTCTTTATTTTTGTTTTATGTGCATTGGTGTTTCACCTGCATATATGTATGTGTGGGGTGTCATAGTCCCTGGAACTGAAGTGACAGACAGTTGTGAGCTGCCACGTGGGTCCTGGGAATTAAACCCAAGTCCTCTGGAAGAGCAGCCAGTGCTCTCAACTGGGGAGACATCTTTCCAGCCCTCTTTCCTTATTGTCAATCATTGATCATTATCACCTCTTTCCCTTTTCCACCCTGATCACTTATATCTTCTATTCCCCCTAAGTTAATACATTTTCCCACCAACCTCTGTGACTAAGCCATGGGGAGGGTCAGAGTTAGGGAAGGTGTATGCTTGCCTGAAAATAATCAGACTTCATCTCTAGCCACCTAAAATGTTTGCTATAAGTTTCACTTCCCAACACCAGGAGTTGTCTCTGTCTCTGTCTGTCTCTGTCTGTCTCTCTCTCTCCCATAAGGGTGCATTAGTCCCAAACCTTGTCCTCGGTGTTTTTATGTACACACTAAATCTTCCTCTGTCGCTCTGTAGGCAGGGATCAGCCCTAATCATTTTCCTCTCTCCTTTTTCACACAAGCACATAAATCTTGTATCCTCCTACTCCACCATCAAAGAACCGTGGGTCCAGAAAGTTCTTTGTATTGCAGTTTATCTGTTTGTCTCTCAAGCTCTCAGGGCCAACTTGTCCTTTCCCTGTTGTATGAATCCGTAGGCCCTTACAGCTCCCACACTCCTTGCCTGGGATTCATTGCCTCTTAGAGTTATCTTTACATACAGGTCTCTGAACCGCCCATGTATCCACCTTTCATCTCCCTCTTATGGTTATCTCCCTGCCTATCACCTCTGCGCTGCCACCTCTCTCCGTCAGTCCTCACTGTAAGAAGAGTGTCACGACGTCTGTGTAGAGCATGCCCCTTCTTCCCACCGCTGATGGGAAGCATTCCACGGTGCCCCTCCGCACATTCCAACTGTAAGCAAAGAGTTCCCTTTCACTCATCCCCCGAACTCTTTCCTGTTCCAACTCTTGAATTTTATGGTCGTAGCTGCCCAGTCTGCCCCTTGACCTTTCACGTCCTGCAGGCAGCCCTCCACCTCGGGGGCAGCTACC